TGCATCATGTCCTTTTTAGGGCACTTTGGCGGAGAGGAATCCGCGAATTTTCGTTCTGGAGCTTGATGTGTACTGCAATTGAGCTGTGCAACGTGCAGGTAGCTGGTACGACGAGGTATAAAAGTTGAGGACGGGGATAAGCATACGTGGACGAGAGGGAGGGGGAGAAAGGAAGAGAGGGAGAGGAAAGGGAAGAAAGAAGGAGAGAGGGAATGAGAGAGAGAGAGGGAGGAGAGAGAGGGAGAGGAGAAGAGAGGGAGAGGGAAGAAAAAGGGGAGGGTCGGGAAGAAGAGAGAGAGGGAGAGGGAAGGGAAGAAGAAGGAGAGAGAGAGGGAGAGGAAGAAGAAGAGGAGAAGAGAAAGAGAAGGAGAGAGGCGGGAGAATGAGAGAGAGAGAGAAAGAGGGATGGGAGGAGGAGAGGAGAGGGTAGAGAAGAAAGAGAGGGAGAGAGGAGAAGAGAGAGAGAGGGAGAGGGTTAGGTAAAAGAGTGAGCGAGAGAGAGAGCGAGAGGAGAGAGGGTGGAGAACGAGAAGGAGAGACCTGGAAGAAGAGAGCGCTTAAAAGAGGAAAGAGTAGAGACAACATGATCCAGACATGTTGGAACATGGGATGAACCTTCTGCTAGAATGTAAATTAGTTTTAAAAACAATATTTTTTCTATCGGTCCTTAATCATCTCACTGACCTGGGCTTCGACTAACCCTTTCACAGCACGGAGGAATAAAATGTAAAAAATATTAGAAATAAATTGAATAAAGTAAAAAAAAACAAAAAAAAACGGAAAGAGATACTGAATGAGAGAGAGAGAAGAAGAAGATAATAGAGCAACTGAAAGCGAGAGAAATTAGAAAAAAAAAGAGACAAGATGAATTTTTCTTTATGTAAAGGTTGAGAGCAACGGTAATATAGCATCTCAACAAAGGCGTGAGTTTTTGCCGTTATATGAGAAGAATTCCTGTTGTTATCAAACATGGCTTTTTGTAAATTCATGGACTGATCCCATTCTGTCAGGCGGATATAAGGTATGAGAGAGAAAAGCGAGGAGGATAATGGAAAAGGGAGTAAATAGAGAAAGAGAGGAGAGGAGGAACCGTAATAAATATCGAGACAATTCGTTACGAAATGAGAAAATGGAGACTAATGTATAACGGAAAGAGAGAAGAGGGGATAAAAAAAAACAGCAAGAGGGTAACGAAGGGTGGATAAACAGAAAATGAAGAGAAGGAGAGACCGAATTAACGAGAGAAAAAAAAAAGGAAAAAGTATTGAGAAGGCAAAGAGCTCTTATCACATCTAGGTCGTACACAGAGTAAGGTAATTATTGGGTAAGCTGAGATTCCTGCTGACTCCTGATCGATACAGACAGGAAGTGGAACGGGGACTTTTTAAAAAAAAATCAGGACAGATCCAGATGAAAGGGAAATAAAAGATGAGATGAGGAGGAAGAGAAAATAAAAATTAGCGAAAAGCGGAGAGTAGGAAACGGAGGATTAACTTCCGCGAAATAATTTTAAAAAAATAAACTACATATTGCGAGGGAAAAAAAATAAGAGGGAGAGTGAAAAAAATACAGCATAAACCCAGATGAAAAAGGAAATGAAAGGATGAGGAGAGGAAGAGAACAAGGAAATGAGAAAGGCGAGCGAAAAGCGTGGAGTAAGAAACTGAGATAATGGACTGTCGTATTCGTGAAAAAAAAAAAAAAGTTTGATATTACCGAAACCCAAAAAATGAGAGAGAAAAACATAACAGAAGATCAATAAAAAGAAAAGAGCATGGAAAATAAAAATAAAAATAGAGAGAACGAAAGCGAAAGGGGGAATAGTAAGAAACAAAGAAAAAATGAACCCATCATATTCGAAAATTTCTACAAAGCTCACTCATATTATCAAAAAACAATAATAATAAAAATGAAAATGATGAGGAATGTGTACAAACCAACCACATCTATAACGAACGCATGACGTAGGGGACCAACGCAATAACGAAAGGGAAGCAGAAAGCCAAAGAAGAAGAGAAATGCAGACGATATTCTCCGGATACTTTTGGTCCCCAGACTTATTATGTACCGAGAATGATGGCCTGTGATGAGTCTATTACTGTCTATTACTCCGGTCTTGCGGGTGATATTGGGAGAGGAAAACTTTTCATTGTATGGGGGAAAAAAAGAGAGAAGAGACGGAGAAAGTTATAGTGCGAGAATAACAACAACAAAAATAACATCTTCAGGGGAAAAGCAGAAGAGTGGTTTTATATGACAAGGGATCAAAACCTCTTATTGTGGGGGTTAAAACAGTTAGAAAAGAGTATATTGTATGTGGAAAAGAGTATATTGTATGTGGAAATCCTTAAGTTAATTTGTTTCGTTCGTCTATACTCAACAAGCGTGGATATATTCTCTACATGTACATCATATAACTTTTTCCAGTACACTACTTATGCTGTAGAATAGTGTACAATCAACTTTTCTTGCTGAATACGAATCCATGAACACAAAAGATGTGAACACGCGGCACCGTTTGAATTTATATGTGGAAATCCGTAAGTTAATTTGTTTCGTTCTTCTATACTCAACAAGCGTGAATATATTCTTTACATGTACATCATATAACTTTTTCCAGTACACTACTTATGCTGTAGAATAGTGTACAATCAACTTTTCTTGCTGAATACGAATCCATGAACACAAAAGATGTGAACACGCGGCACCGTTTCAAAATGGAGGAAAGTTTAACCTTAGAAAATTCAGAATGAACATCCACAAAGTTTCGTGATATGAATATGAAGATGATCTCTCTTACTTGCTTCAAAATGCATATTTCTTTCATTGTAAATCTATTATGTTCGTTGTTGTTATTGGTGGAATGAGTTCTGTATCATGACATCATCACATAACTAGAATATCCTCAGATAGAACAAATCACTAAAAAGGACCTGTTATTTTTTATTTTTTTCCATCATCGGAAATAAACATGATAAAATATTCGTGTATTTATTTTATTCTACGACTTTTAAAAGAATATAATAAAAAAATAAGTTTCTCAACCCAAAGAAATAAATTTTGAAATACATTGTAGGCCTATGTACTTTCAAAAAGTGTAGGCCTATGTACTTTCAAAAAGTGTTTGGGAAATTAACTCCATGTAATAAATAGGTGAATACTATGCAAATTTTAAAACGAAAAATGCTCCTTTTAAAGACTCTGATATTCATGAGCCATTTCTTAATACCTATTCACTAGGAAGACCTCAAAAAAATATATAAAAATTCTTTAAGGTTTGGATAGGTCATAATTCCAAATCAGATTTCTTTTGAAAGTTCATTCAAAAAGTTACCTAATTTTTACCGAAATGGCATTTGGTTTGATTATGATAAAAGTTTCTCAAATCTAAATTAAATATATACATCACTGAGGAACTTCAAGGAATATGTGCACGTGTTAATAGATTGTATGTATGTTCAAGTATGTGTGTGTGTGTGTGTGTGTGTGTGTGTGTGCGTTGGTGTGTGTGTGTGTGTGTGTGTGTGTGTGTGTGTGTGTGTGTGTGTGTGTGTGTGTGTGTGTGTGTGTGTGTGTGTGTGTGTGTGTGTGCCATGGATTGTGATTATGGTAGAATATCTTGAAGATCATTTATTGATTATTAATCCTTAGAAAAAAAGGTTAAACAAGTCTTTACACACACATTTTACACAAATGCTCCCTTGAATATTAAAGTCACGCTTTGTTTACAAAAGAATGGCAGAATTATCTCATTTTTAGAGTAAAGGTGAGACGTTTTCTACCTTGTGGAAATTAGCTCTTTGTTTACGTATGTCACATCTTTTGCCATGTGATCTAGGTTACATTCTGTTCTTAAGTATTTCTTGAATTTAATGCGTAAAAATACAGTAATTGACGACGACGGGGACTTAACAATGTCAGTGTTAGACTTTTTGTTATTTCTGCACATAGAATTCGCGATGTTACTGTTATTATTATCATTATTATTATCACTACTACTACTACAAATACTCCCAGATAGAAAGGTGGTCCTCCTGTAACCTCCTGTATAGAAAATACTCCTTAATTTCTATCTTCTTGTAAAGAGACGCTTTTCTTAAGCTTGAAATAAATCCGTATCTGGGATGATATAGATATATCGTTTTCCTTTTTAATTTCAAAAAAATAAATATACATCTAACCTGTGATAAGATTTGCAATACAGACAAAAATGCATGATATACCGTAAATATGCGTGTGTTTCCTAGCATGTACCTTTACGAATACGGAAATACCTCCGTAAATATACATATACACATGCATTTCTTTACAATGAATTGGTAGATAAAAAAAAAAAACCAGTTGTGAGCGTAGATCGGGGAATAGATAGTGAGTACACCCAGAATTCATCTCCATATGTGTCTGTCTACCAATATGTCTGCTGCTATATTATTTAACTAGGTGTTCTCAATGGGTTGGATACGTTGCCATCCTCGGCTTTAGAATTCGTCAATGGCTCATTGTACTGTATTATGTTTACCTCTCTATTGAGCTTACTGGCTTGTTGACGCAGTTACCTGCCTGTATAATTAGTCATTAGTTTTGTTATCTATATTAAATCATTATTGTTGTCATCATAATTTTTTTTTTTGTTATCATTATTGTTATTATTATCATTATTATTTTTTATTATTATCATCATTATTGTTATTATTATTATTATTGTTATTAGTATCATTTATTATATTTATTATTGTCATTATTATCATTACTATCATTATCATTGCTATTATTATTATTATTATTATTACTATTGTTATAATAATATCTAATGTTATAATTACGAAGCGTGTGTTGTGTGTGTGTATTATATTATATATATATTTATATATATATATATAATATATATATATTATATATATATATATATATATATATATATATATATATCCGTGAACCGGCTATGTTCGAGAAACACTTATTTTTCCGTGGTGCGCTCTGATTGGCTGGGAAGTCTGAGC